CTGCGGGCAAGAGGAAATTTTGCACTTATTCCATTTTGGTTATTTTCTAATATTCTGTCTTAGTAACTTCCATAAATAGCTTCCATGCATAGATTAGAATTTTAGCAGTAAAGGCCAGAATGGACTTTTTGTTTGATTTAAAATTTGAAAATATAAAGAATACATATGAAATCTCATGATCAATATTAGATTTTTTCTCTGCTACAATGATTTACTTTCTTCGTGCTCATTTTTATTTGCTTCTGCAGGTCTTTATTTTCTTTTGGAAGAATAATGTTTGGGATTTTCAAACTGGGAATGCATCAGATTTGATTTAAAAAGAAAGCAGAAAGGAAAAAGCCTTTGTGGTTAAAACATGATTGAGATTGATTATACTGACATCAGTATGTAGTGGAGTAAGATTGGATCAACTTTAGAAATGTATGTAACAGTCATCGTTCAGTTTCTCATAGAATCATTTTGGTCTCAATTAATTTTATCTTTTTATAGAATTGTAGTTTGTTTGTCTCTTTTTTTTTTTGAGTCTAAAGTAAATGTAACAATTTTTAGATGACAATTGTATCTAAGTTATTAGACATGTTCATGTTGTCGTTTGTTTTCAATTAGTTTACAATTGGGAATCAGGCAAATAGTTTGGTTGGTGCCTTTTTTTTTTTTAATTATTATTATTTTATTCAAGTGGGGTGGTGTTCTGAACTTCAACATTGACCAAATTTTACAGTTTAAAATCTTAAACCTTTTGTAATGTTCTGAGCACACAAAGTCTCCAGTAATGCTCGAGATTCTGAATTTAACTGAGTTCATTGTTATGATGTTAATAAAGATGTCAATAAAATATCATTATGAAAGAAATTACAAAGAATTCCATAACTATTTCACATTTAAATAAATTAAGTTCTTTAATATCAGCATTTTTTGTAGAGTGGGAATTCAAATTTTGGATTTTTTTGGTTGAAAATATATGTTGTGATCAATTGGGATGTAATAGAATTGTTCTAATAAATGTCATTTATTTCACATTTAAACAAATAAAGTTCTTTAATATTAGCATTATTTTTTTTTTTTTTTGAGTTCATAGGTAGGGATTCAATCCGACTAAAAATATATGTTTTGACCAATTGGGATGTAATTGAACTATACTAATAAATGCAATTTATTTGCATTTAAATAAATTATATTCTTTAATATAAGCATTTTTTTCTTTTTTGAGTTCACGTGTGGAGTTTTTATTTTTATTTTTTTTTGTTGACAATATAGTCTTTAACTCGGTTGGAATTAATAGAACTGTTCCAATATTTGAGTTCTGATCTACAAAAAAAAAAAAAAATATTGACAAATTTACAGACAGGAAAGATTTGTAAACTTATAAAAAGCATAGTAATACAACATAAGCATTAGATGTTTTGGTTCTGTTTTCTCCGTTTTCCAGATGCTTCAGGAATTGTGAGATCTGATGCTAAAGGTTTCTTTAAAGTACAAAACCTTGCTTTGTATGTCACATAATCACAACACTTCCTATTGCTTCACTCGTACCTTGTAACTGCACAACCTGAAAGATTTGTCAAGCAAATAAAACAACCTCCTGTGCAGGCAATCCTTTCTTTTTTTAATCGCTTACGATATTATATTTCTAACCAAAGGAGGGATTTCGACTTTAAACTTAAAGAGTCATTTAAAGAGATGTTAGTGCTTCATCACATACAAATAATTTATCCCAACTAATTAGTTATTGAGTATATTTGAGAGATGGTAACCATCTAACTACGTCTAAGAGTCAATCTTAATATAGTTTAAGAAATCAGATATCAAAGTCTCTGACTTATGGATTATAGGCTCAAAACCTCTTCTTATTTACAAATAGTGTTCTAAAAGAAAATCGAGCAATATAATGGTTGAAAAATACTTAGGTCCTAATGGGTGAAAACCTATCTTGTCCTCACCGTCCTTGAATGTTTGACAACTAAGAGAGAAAAATGCAAAAATAATTTCAATGGTCAATTTTTTAATTGTGGTTAGGATAGAAATAGGTTCTCCCAGGTCATGTTTTAATATTTTCCTTAAATGTTAAAAAGAACACCAAGCACTAAAAGGTTATCAATCTGTAGTTTTGTACAATTTTCTGTTATTTGTGGCACAATCAGAATGAAGTGTCAGAGGGAGGCAAATACAAGAGGCAGAAGTCAACTTACAAAGGCTAAACATTCAAGTGCGTGCAGAAATGCCTCCCTTTATATGGGACTTCTCCTAGCTCGCGACTTGGAGGTTCCTGCAAAATGGGGGCAGCGCATCAATGGAAATCCAAAAAAATGAAATATTGAGCTTATAATACATACCTTCATTCTCAACTTGGGGTGATTGAATTTCAGTATCAGATGTTTCTGACTCTGTCAGCTCACTAGAAGCACCAGAATCTTCGGAGTCGACGAACTTAGGTTCTGAATTGCCATTCATAGATTCGGCACCTTCAGATGATTCAGTGTCTTCATCTGCAAGCATGATCTTATGTTAAGAGTTCCAGCCAATGATAGTATTACACTATTTATTACATTAAAAAAGGGTACAAACTACAAAATACGCATATTTTGCTGCATTCTCCCAGCAGAAAGATTACGAGTATTTCCCGTTTCTTGTTTCTTTCAAATTTATTAAGAAACTTAAGTATTTTACAACTATTTATGTTTCTTGTTTCTAATTTTTTTGAAACATTATCAAAATGATATAGAAAGTTTAGAAACAATCAAAAGAAGTTTCTTTGTTTCTTGATTTCGTTTTCAATTTGTTACAAAACATAGATATAAATATTGTTTGATCAACCTTGAATTCATGGGATGATAGGGCTATGTAATTCTATTTTTCTTTATTAAAAATAAAGAGATAGAAATAATAAACGAGAACGTTACCAAACCGGTCCTACAATATCGGATTATAAAAAATTAGACGCAATAATAGTAATATGCCAACTTTTATTCTTCCTAATACGTGTTTAGAGCCAAGGAACACAGTGGAAAAGAACAATGAAAATGAGTTGGTGGATTAAACCAACCTTCAGTAATTTCGGACCCAGGAGCATCTTCTCCATTTTTCGCCGATACAGAAGAAGCTTCAATATTACTAATCCTCTGTTGATGAACTTGGGCGTTTCTAGCAGTCACTTCCTGCTCCTTTCTTTCCATATGAGTTTTGTTTAGCTTTTCCTCGAATTCTTCAATGTACAACTTGAGCTCTGGTTTTGCAAATTTCTTACTCTGGAATAAAATATGGAGAGATGAGAACTTTTCACTTCATATGTTAGGGTACGTGAGCAATAGCCAAATAAGCTCATAAGCTCATACCTTGTTTACGATGCTTTTGAAATGTTCCATTACAGAGTCCTCCAATACAACATGTTCATATGTCTTGAATGAATCTATCAGCTTTTTCATTCCCTTTTCGGTGAAACCAAGCTGAGAAAGGCAATATGAAATATATTCCCACTGTCTAACATCTGCAAACAGATAATAGTCATTAGTTCAAAACATCATAATGCATATAAATGGAGAACTTGATACTTGATACTTCGTACCAAAAAGTAAGGTTATAGCCATCATGGTTAAACAGAGAAGACATAAAACTTGAAAGAGATGGATTATATCTAAGATGGAATGTAGAATGCAGTTTACAATCTGTAAGAATAATAGTACAAGGAATTAAAATCAATACTATAAACATTCAAAATTTTTAGGTTTATTTTATGAAATGTAGCAGAAGATATCTTTTAAGTACTAGCACCCCAAGCGTTCTCTTTTTCCAAAATTAGCAGTCCAAAGTTTGAAATTGAATTACCACATTGTGGAGTCTGTCTTAATAAGAAAACTACCAAAGCTATGCTTGTTAACCAAGGGGAAATAGTATCAATTCCATGACTTATAATAGATATTTCCAAAGGTTTGATACTAGCAATTTAGTCCAATTAACACGGATTTTAGCTTAAATTAGACTCGAGTTAATTTGAAGATACTAGACGTGGCTCTTGTAAGAGTTTGACACAAACCGAGAGAAAGAGAGCGTCCTGGGGAAAATAAACATTTATTTTCATCCAAAACTTTTGGGTGTTGTTGATGTAGTGAATTGACTGCTTATTTCCCACGCAATTTCCCCTCAAGGACTTGTTGGTTTGTACATTTGTTGTTAGAATTGTTAGTTTCTCGACTGGTTTAGTTGGTGAGAAGGCAACATCTATGAAAAGAATTTTATGCCTACGTTTTCTAATTAACTATATTGAATCGATGTTTGTTAGTATTCTTCCAAATTCCAATCCTAGGGGTATAGTATGGTCTGGTTGAGTCTGAGTCTAAAAAAGGATTTTGCTTGATAATAAATTAGGGTATCATTATCACCGAACACTTTGTTTTTGCAACTGTGATTCTTATGCAAGTGTGCATGCACATATACATGGATTAAGTTCTATAGCTGGTGTCAAGCACTTTACCGTAATCCAATAGAAATATACCTTCTTTTGTACATGCAAAGTGACTTGCGCCTTGTGAACAAGGTAGTACCTACTTCACGAGCAACAAGTAAGCAAAAGGGGAGCGCAGCTTGGTGCAGTGCAACCTTTTCTTTCTTGTTCTCCATCCTTTTTAGCAAAATTTCTATTTTCCAGCAAGCTCCTCATAGCAGATCATGTTACGGATTATCCTTCATACTATCATAGACCTTAACTCTCAGATGGAGGTTGATATGGATGTTCCTCTGCCTTACATTTAAGCATATAACCTACAGGTCCATAGGAGGATAGGACAAGCCTACCATTTGAGGACTTCCAACGAATCTAAACTAATATCAAGGACAAGCCTACCATTTGAGGACTTCCAACGAATCTAAACTGATATCAGCTAAGTCTCCAATCTAGCTTATTTTCAAGAAGATACTATAACTAAGCCTCCAAAGATGAGAGAACCATTTTTGGCTAGTACTGTTGTTACTGTCAGCTTTGGAAGGTCACATCCTTTTTCTAATTCAAAACAATCAATTCACAAGTAATCAAAGCTATTTATTCATGTAGCATAGGCATTCCAACTTCCAAAAGACACTAAATCATATGACCTTTGTAAGGCCGTCTTAGAGAGCATTGTAATGTTAGCATATACCTTTTACATTTTCCATTCGAAGTCTTTGATTGCACTTCTAACCTATTTATAACTTTGCAAGACTTAGATCCCCAAAGCCCGTATTTGAAGAGATTCAGATGTGTTAGGCCAACACTATTGGATGTTTGCTTGCTCGAGCAAGGAGGGATCCACTCATTATTGAGGAGAAAGATTAAAAGGCACTAGGCTAAAATTCATGAACCCAAAATTTGAATGAAGTAGAAGATTTAAATTTAAGCAGAGGATGTAAGGCTACAGAGGATTGTTATATCCAGCATTCCTGTGAAGGCAGAATGGGGGTATGATTGGATTTGTATAGTTTGAGATTGAGAAGTAGAGCTTATCTCAAACTTCAAAATGAGGTCATCCCAACTTTAGTAGATAACTTGACTTGACAACCTACACTTATAAATGGGTTTGCCCTCGTGGAAGGGGTATTCCAATTTAGCCTAAATTCTCTTATCTCTTTCTCAAACTAAAATTCCTTTCCTTTCCTTTCCTCAATTGATGACTTGACTTTAACAAAACACCACATAAATGTCAACTTCAATCATTTGCGGCCTTCTCTCTCTAATGGGCAAATGAGATGTGTTTTTCTGGTATCCAACTCCAACCACCACAATTTAGTCATTTTCAACAAAAGCCCCTCAATTATTTCAAAAGACAAAACAAAACAAAAGCCCCTCAAGCCTCCTTTGTGACCAACTTGAGTCATCATCATCTATGCTAAGAACTCTTGAACCATCATCAAATTTGTTAGGTTTTCAAGTCATTTCAAGACAATAAATCTCCAACTTCAGTTCACAACTATGACAGTTTGAAAGAACTGCAATGATCTTGACCAAAACTTCAAATACATGGCTCAAGTCATCTCACACAACAATTTACACCTATAAATAGGACTCCACTCCTGGACAAATGACATATTCACTTTGGCTTATCACTTCCTCGTCCAACTAGTCATTGTCTCTTCTTTCTCCCTCACTTTAATCTCTCTCATTATCAATCTAGAACTTCCTAACTCCACCAATTATTTAACTGATGAATAGAATAACTCAGTGTTTTCAAAGCACAAGGCATACTCTAGGGCAGCAAATCTCTTGATGGAGGCAACACAAAGTGCTACCTTAGTGAAGTGAGACACACTTTAATAAATAAATTATATATATAGACATATAGTATAAATTTATAGTAAATGTAGAGATCTTACTAAAAAACCTTTAGAAATGTCCACATCCAACCCATCCATTATAACTTTCTCTCTATTCCCAATCCTGCTGCCGCCCAGCCAGAGCCTCCCTTTCTTGGATTGAAAACTGTATCACTTAATGTTTTTCTAGGTCATTTCATTTCCATTTTCCAGCCTTACTGTTGCAACTTCTTTTTCATTTCATGCTTCATATTTTTCCCCTACTTTTCTGTGTTCCATTAGTAAATTCCTTCTCATCTTTTGATTACCCATTAATACTTTCATCTAAGTCAATTTTCAATGAAGTAGTTTCTTCAACATTTAAACTACAGCTGAAAAATTAAAGGCCAGCCACATATGCAATCCTCATTGAAAATAGTTGCTTCGTTAATAGAAGCCTCAGATTTATTCAAAGCCAACCCAAAATGAAGGTGTTATGATCCCCATTGGCGATTAGAAAAAAATGAATATTCCTTGCCTTCTGGCTTCCCTCCCCCTAACTTCCTTTATTTATAACCAACTCAACCCTAGCTAATTGTCATAATGCCCCTACTAATATCCTAATAATATTTTCAATATATCCCTATTAGGACAAAAGGAAACTACAGTGAGAGTTGTGCTATTCAATTTTTGAACAAAAATCACAAGGAAACAGGAAAGTGTGGACCTGCCGCACCTTTCTTTTGATGTTAGAAAGTGGTACTGGCTTCAAATTTTGCAGATGTGAGGAGGCTGGTCTGTTCGTAGGGGTTTCCTATGTTTGAATGGAATGTTTGAGTTTTCTTTATTATGGCCATTTCTCTTCTTTTGGCTTAAACTGTTCAGCTGAAGAGTTTGCCCACCCCAATCACCATAGGTGTTCATCTCACTATTCCTCAACAATGGCAAGGGAAACTAATAGCGCACAATGGCAAGGGCAGGTACCTCAAATTATAGTGCACGCCCTGAGTGCGCCTTGAAAAGGCTTGAATAACTTGAATAGCGCATTACAAAACTATAAAGCTGAATACTCTATGATATTTCTCCTCTTCTCCACATGCAAATAGTATGTGATTGTGATATTCTAATCACCACAATCCACATTGAGCACATAGCATATGAAAGATCCTCTAATACTATTAGAAGAACTTGAGTGCCACAAAACAAGTTAAATATGAATCAATAATAATGTATCGGGTATTAATAATATTATATATTAAATAATTTGGTGCCTTGATTAAAGAAGTCATACCAGGATGGCATCATGTAAGCGAGTACAAAATCAAATTTTAGCTAGCAGCATAGTGGGAAGCAATAAATTGGAAAACATGCATACGAAGTGAAGAGTTCTATGGCACTGTGCAGCGAGGGCTCTTCTTTGGCATCTTTGGAAAGAGAGAAATAGTAGACTTTTTTAGGACAAATCAGTCCCTTTAGATTCTTTTTATGTGAATACAAAGCATACAGCTTCTTGGCGGGCCACAATCCAAAAGAAGGCTTTTGAAAACTACAGTCTTTTTTTGATTTCACAGAATTGGAAGAATGCGATTGTATAGTTCTCTTTGGGGAGGGTTCTCTCTACCCTCC